TGTAAGTGATTCTGGGCAAGACAAAGCCCATTTAGAGGCTAAGGGAATGTTGCTTTTTTTTCTGTCAAGCAGTCATATCTTTTCTCCTTTTTGGGCGTGCAAATGACTTTCCTACCTGCTGGTCTTATACCTGGCTACATTTTTAACTCATGTGTTGTTTCATGTTTTGAAATGTTGTCTTCAAGTCACAGATATGACTGCTATTTTGCCTACCCTACTTGTTCTTGCTTCCTTAGTATCGAGTCACAATACGATGCAGTTTTCTAGAACCACAGAACAATCACTATGCAGGCTTTAATACTAGTTGTTTTGAACCCAAACATACGCATGCTAATACAGCAGAACTATATAAGCAATTCCGTACCCAATGTCTGGTGAAAATACTATTGTCCTGCTACTAACAGGCCATAGGCCTTATCCTAACTCCAGAAGGCCCCAATCCCGGTTTGTTAGAGCTGTTACCGACTTGTGTGAGAGCTTACTCTGTGAACTGGAACTTGATACCTGGTGTCTCACGCTGTGATGTTTAAGTGTGGGATAACAGCAAGGCCCCTGAAACTGTGGGTGCAGGCAGAAGGCAAAGGCCCCCAAACCATCAATAACTCACTTATGGTCAGTTATTGGTCACTGAAAAAGTGAAGCCTTGAGAGCTGGGACAAGGCTGTCCTAAGAAAGGAAGAATCACCTCAGTTCATCCGCACCTTGCTGATGTTTTCCTTTCTTGGCTGTAAGTAATGCACAAGCATATCCAGCCAAATCTCTGCCGCTGCTCTTTACCATCCTCTAAGTGTAAAACATCCACCTCAGGGACGTTTCATACCCAAGTTACTTGTTTTGTTTATCATTAAGACACTCCTGTGCTATCCTATAGCAGCTTGCTAGCAACACAGTTTTATTATCATCCTAAACCAGAACATTGGTTTTCTGGACCAAATCCCAGTAACTCATCACCCTGGAAGTTACTTGCTGCCCTGGAATTGTAGAATACACAGAAGCATGTGCACTTTTTTTTTTTTTTTAAGCCCCCATCTATTTGCTATAGATCCATTTAGAATGAAGACTGTTCTGCTCCAAAAGGATAGCAATGTGTTAAATAGATTGTACAGACAGTTACAGGATCAGAGGTGAAAAGCACATACCACTGCAAATTTCTAGACCTTACCCCTTGGTCTGCCTCGGAATCGAGCTTTATTAACCAGCAATCCTGACTGGAGAGCTAGGCTTCAGAAAGCTTTGGGAAGCAGAAAAACTGATTTTCAGCTTATTACATAGTGATTTGTTTTCATCATAACTTTATTCTGAGCCCCTACAGAGGAGCCTTATCAAGTGTCACTCAATAGATGCAGCAAGACAGCCATGAAGCAAGAATGTAGGCAAATCTCATTTAATTAACATCTTTACCAAACAAAGCCTAAGCTTATGTGAATGTCACATTTAAATTCTAGGTCTTCATATTTTATTTTTTAACAATGCATCAGCATTTTTAATCATTTTTAGCTTAAGGACTGTTACATCAGAACCGTTATCGGTGTTTCTCTTCCCTCTGTTAGGGCCCACACAAATTTCCATTCCTACTTTCACCGCTAAAGCAGAATAGGAAAAGGTGGCTCCCATCATTCAGTTTTCTTCATAGCCACAAGCAATAGGAATGCTTGCATACTGTCCCCAAATGTATTCAATTTCAGTACAACAGCACTGAACATGCTGAGCATTGCAACAAGAATCGCTGGAATACAGAGAACCTGCAAGTTCAGTGAAACTAGAGTTCCTCTATTGTCTGAAGAGAGCAATGATATATAGCCACTATTTAAATCCTGCAAAATAAGTTACTTTCTGTTTAACGCAGGATGTTTTCAGTGGAGCAGACGTTTCAGATGCTGAATCTAACATTGTTGGGTTTCTTGGCTGGCAGTACTTAAAAGCTGCTCCTTAAAACTTTATGTTTTGAGGAGCCACAATACACTGGAGGAATAGTTCAAAAGCAAGTCTTACAATAAGTAAAAATCAAGATGTCATAAGCAGTAGAGTGGAAATTAAAGTATGATGAAAGCTGAAGGAATAAGGGGGATTGTTCAGCAAAAGACTGCTGTTATAAAGAGGAAATCAGTAAGAAAAACAAAAGACGTGATTAGAAAGGCAGGAGAGGATCAGCATTCTAGACTGAAGAGTCAGCTCTCTAGACATGGAAGGAAAATTTCTGCTCACACAATTTCAATTACCTGAGCCAGTGAATTTTGTCCTGTTTTTAGGCTCTTGTGAAGGTTCACACAACCACCCTCCCCATGCCCCAGGGAGATGGCAGACATAAAGTAAAAGCTATCTGAGCAGCTCTTTATGTGGGCTGGTCTAATCTTCAGTTCCTTCCTCACATATATAAATGTAATCTGGTGTGGGATCCGCTTAGGAGGGAATCTTTCTTATTTGAATAGCTTGGGTCTCCTGCAGGTTTTTTAGCCTGTTGACAAGCTGTACATTTCCGGAGGTGCTATAGTAGGAGTTACTCTGAGAACCTGATGCCCTTGAACAAACTCCAGTTTCTGCTTCCTGATATTTGGAACATAGTTATATATTATATATGAACTTCCTTCATAAGCAAATTATGCCTGGTTTCTATTAAGCCTATAATTTTGTTGTTTGCACATTTACATTACTCATTTCTCAGGCCACCATCACTGGCAAGTTAATTTGATTGAAAAGGAATCTTTTCTTTCCATGTTGCTAGTTTTCAGTCAGATCGTCTTATGGACCCATCAGCACAGATCTGAGTGCTTTTACATGGGAGGCCATGGCAACGCTGGAGTGAGGGACAGACAAGGCAGGTTCATGCAAGTAATTTGTGAAATCCCATCCTCAAGCACCTAACAATGACAGAAGTTCCAGAGTATTACATCCTAATGGAAGGATGCATTTATTTGCTACTTTGAGTTAGGTACTAAAAATGTAGACATTTGCCCTGTGCCTTGTATAGGAGGTTTGAGTAAATGCTTAAATTCAGAGCTGGTGACCCCAGTAATAGGGTTAAGCACCCACAAGTTGAGTGCTGCAACACCTCCAGCAGTAAGTAGTGTCAAATCTTCATTTAGTGAAACTTTGAGTTGTTTCTGATCATGAGGAAGGGATGGATACAAGAGGACAAGTCCCTCTTACCTACCTCAGTTTTCACGTGTAATGGTCTAATAAATCCTCAGATTTTTATGAAGGAGCATTACAATAGTAGGCTGTTGGATACGCTTTGCTGGTAATGGAAAATGTTCATTTTAGGATTCTAAGCTTTCAGGCTTTTTGCAAATCCTTGAATTATTTTACTCAAGCTTATTTTTGAAAGTTTGACTTATTTATCATAGAATCATAGAAATGTTTGGGTTGGAAGGGACCTCTAAAGGTCATCTAGGCCAACCCCCCTGCCGTGGACAGGGACATCTTCAACTACATCAGGTTGCTCAGAGCCCCGTCCAACCTGACCTGGAATGTTTCCAGGGATGGGGCATCCACCACTTCCTCTCTGAGCAGCCTGGTCCAGTGTGTCACCACCCTCAGCGTAAAAAATGTCTTCCTTATACCTAGCCTGAATCTACCTTCTTTTAGTTTAAAGCCATTCCCCCTTGTCCTATCACTACAGGCCCTGCTAAAAAGTTTGCCGCCATCTTTTTTATAAGCCCCCTTGAAGTACTGATAGGCTGCAGTAAGGTCTCCCCAAAGCCTTCTCTTCTCCA